GGTGTTCCGGGCATGTCCCACCAGGAGGAGGCCCCGGGGAAGACCCAGGACACGCTGGAGGGACTATGTCTCTCGGCTTGCCTGAGAACGCCTTGGCATGCCCCCGGAGGAGCTGGAGGAAGTGTCTGGAGAGAGGGAAGTCTGAGCATCTTTGCTTAGACTGCTGCCCAGATAAGCGGAGGAAAATGGATGGATGGATAGTAAATCTCACTGTTCGCAAAAAACAGTGGATTTTAATGGACTGATTGGAACTAATTGAAGCTGCTTGAATTACATGACCTGCTTTTTGACTCCACAATGTCGCAACTCCTCTGTCTTATGCCCCCTGCGTCTTCTGAGCCATAGAGTTTCATAGAAAAGCAACAAAAGTGTATCAATCTACAGCTGCAAATAGTCTCCAGCACATGCAATATTTACTGCTGTTTAAATACCTTTTGCTGCAAACCGTGGTGTACAGCTGGTTTAGGAACTCACTCAGGGTTTTTTATAAATGAAACAAAATATTCGTGGCTTGTATTTCTGTTAGGAACCTATGGGGTGGGGGCTGAGTGCAACAGACAGGGCAGGAAAATAGGAAAGTGTTGAGAAACTGTAATATTTGTTTTGGCGTTTTCAAGGATCTTGTCCTGAAGTTTCGTTTTTTTTTTGTTTGTTTGTTTTTTCTTCGGGCATTAATAAAAGCAACTTGACATTGGTAATAAAAATAGAATAAGTCAGACTTGAACTCCTAAATGAGTTTTTTGCTGCAATAAAAAAAAGCAGGTAATGTGGTGTAGTGAGCTTGGAGACTACTGTTAAACTAGGTCCAGAAAAAAACCTATGGCAAACATCACCACTGAAGTGTCCCTCAGTGGAGCAGAGAAGCTCTTTCACAGTAAACAGAACATTATGACTAAATATTTAGGACATTTCATTACAGATCAGCTTTCTGATGATGAGGATATATATCGGCAGTGTCGCATTTTGTATGCTCAAGCTAATATGTTGGTTAGGAAATATCACATGTGTTCTGCTAATGTTAAAGTTCATCTGTTCAGAACATACTGTACACCGTTGTATACTGCCCCATTGTGGTGTAAATATAAGGTAGCTACTTTACAGAAACTTAAAGTTGCTTATAATGATGCCTTGAGGATTCTGCTTAAGAAGCCTAGGTCCACCAGCGCCAGTCTGTTGTGTTCACAGGTCCATGTTAGTACCTTTCAGGCATTAATGAGAAACCTGATGTACAGATTTATCTGTCGTGTGAATAACTCTGAGAACAGTCTTATAATGATGCTGGCTAATCCTGGTTTTAGTGTAGTACGTTACCAATCCTCTCTGTGGAAACATTGGTATAAATGTCTTTTATGATTTTTATTTTGTTTCTTCTTTTATATCCTTTCTTTTTCTTTTATTTCTTTTTTGTAT